CCCTACGGAACTCCATGGCATAACTGCCATGGCGCAGAGCCATAGTCCCCCAGCACCAACTTCTGGAATCGGCCATTGAGATAGGAGCGGAACCACTGCAAAGCAGTGCCTCCTACTCCCAATCCCACTAGCCTATCTAGAAGGATACCATGGTCGATGGTATCGAAAGCCGCTGAGAGGTCCAGGAAGACCAACAGGGACACACTCCCCCTGTCTCTCTCCCTGCACAGGTCATCATACAGGGCGACCAAGGCAGATTCAGTACCATACCCGGATCTGAAGCCAGACTGAAATGGGTCCAGAGAATCAGTCTCATCCAAGAGAGTTTGGAGCTGTCCCACCACCACCCGTTCTAACACCTTGCCCAGGAACGGGATGTTGGCCACCGGTCTATTAATTGGTGGCCATCTCTGGATTCAGGGATGCCTTCTTTAGGACTGGCCAGTCTACCACCTCCTTTAGAGTTGCAGGTACCTGGCTGTTCCTCAGAGAGGCATTGATGACATCCAGGATCCAGGCCCCAATCCTGTGTTTGGCTTTGTTAAATAGCCACAACGGGCAAGGGTCCAGTAAACAGGTGGTGGGACATACTTGTCCAAGCACCTTGTCCACATCATCAGGCCACAATAACTGGAACTCATCCAACAATGTTGGACCAGACGGCAACATTGGCATCTCCCCTGAGGGTTTTGAATCACTAGTGGAGTCCAGCTCATGACGAATCTGAGCTGTTTTCTCCTTAAAATGCTTGGAAAAGTCATCACAGCGGGCCATTGAGGGCAGTATGGGATCTTTCTTGGGGCCTGGATGAACCAGCCCCTGTACCACCTGAAAGAGCTCCTCTGGACAGCACTGTGAGGAGGCAATGGAAGCGGATAAGAATTTCTTCTTCACTGCCCTCACTGCCACAGCATAGGCTCAATAGTGAGCTCACAAGTGTGTTCGGTCAGATTCATCCCCTGATTTCCTTCACCTATGCCCTAGACATCTCCCAACCCATTTCATCGCCCATAGTTCAGGTGTATACCAGGGGGATGAACAGGCTCTGCCAGGTGGGAGAGGATGCTTAGGAGCGATCGTGTCAATAGCCCTGGTCATTTCCCCCTTCCACAGTCCGACCAGAACATCGACAGGAGCACCAACCTTATCAACTGGAAATTCCCCCGGAGCCTTCAGGAATCCATCCGGATCCATCCCGTTCCGGGGGCGGACCAACACAATAGGGTCTGCACCCTTACAGAGGGAAAGGCCGCTCTTGAGCTCAAACTTCACGAGGAAGTGATCTGACCATGACAGGGGAGTCAAACACAAATTCCTCACCCTCAGATCCCCCTCTTCCTGCCCCGTCAATAAAACCAGGTCCAGCGTGTGTCCATGTTCATGGGTTGGGCCTATGACATGTTGAGACAGCCCCATGGCCATCATGGAGGCCATAAGTCCTGAGCCGTCCAGGTCAGAACAGTCTCGGCATGGAGATTGAAGTCCCCCAGGACCAGCATCCTGGGGGTCCTCAACACCAGGTCCGAGATGATCTCCGTCAGCTCAGGCAGGGAGTCTGTTGGGCAGAAGGTTATTGAATGGTTATTCCATGGAGCTGAATGGTGGGGAATTCGGCAGCAGGTTACTTCTTCACACAGGACTATGGAACGTGTATGGTAACGATGTAGTGTTGGTGCCTTCTACGTTTATTAGAGAGCTCATGGAAGAGAACGCAAATGTTTCTGCTGTTTCAGATGGCTCTGTGGTAATCCACAGAGCTCGCGCATAAAACATTTCCAAAGAGGTGTGCCTGCCACCCATGCTATGTTCCTTTAGGCACCATGTGAAAACCTTTTTATTTACACACTATTTTAACAGTTAGACTTTTATCCTCATTTTAACCACATTTTACTGAATCCCTGAATGAGATCCACTTGCAATGATGGTATTTTGTACTATGCTTTACTGTAATATGGTAGTTATTAATGGGGTTGCTGTGTTCTTATATGTGTTTTTATTGTATGTGCTTCATATTAATCATGGTATTGCCAAATTTGTAAAATACCCAGGGAGACTTTAAGCTGATGGTCGGGGAAGAACTGCAATAAATGAGCAAACAAACACCAGCAATGGGATCCCATAGAACGAGAGTTTCTGGAGAACACTTGTGTATGTGTTTCTGCATACTTGTGCCCAGCTGGTGGGCTTCCCATTGGCAACTGGTTGACGCTGTTCTGCGGCTAAGCAAGCAAGCGAGTGAGCCAGCGAGCAAACCAGAAGGGGCACTCAAGAGGGCGAGCAATAAATGGAGTGCCAATCATGCTTTCAGCTTTTGAGCAGGTGGTCTTGAGGGGTAAAGTATACCTGCATGAGTACCAAGATATCCGCTGTGCCTTTGCTGAAGTCTAGGCATAACTATGCCTATATGTACTGTGGTGCTTGGCTTCTTATGAAACATAAAAGCATATACAAGTACACAGAGTAGAGTACTCCTAGAACATAATTCTGTCCTTAAGTGCAGGACTGTGTCTCCCAAATTGCCAGCATGTGGGTTCCAAAGCTGCTGATCATGCCCCTCGGTAATTTCATACCTATAAGGGAGTCCCTTATATGGGACCATGCCTATTCCTTCCATTGTGACGCAAACAGCGGTGATTTCTCACCCCCCACCCCACCGACACGGACACACTGCCATTCCATGTGTTGAAATATTCTGAATTTATAACAATCACTGCCAAAACTGTTTGCTTGTCTTAAAAAGGAACAATCCGGACACGTGCAGATTTGCATTGAAAGTTCATTTACATTAAAGAATCAACATGATTGCAAGCATTAAGCGGAATTCTTTCTACGCCTGCTACCTCCATTTGGGAAAACGCTGGGCTGCGAGGGCTAGATTCTGGCCCCTAGAGCCAGCCTGCGCTTTTCCACTGTAGCAAGTAGAACCAGTGAGAAGTGAAGGAGAGAACAGGTGTGTGTTCGCTTGCGTGTCTATATCCAGAACCCTTTCAAGAGCTCTCCATGTTGTTGTCCATATAAGGGTGGTTCACAGGTTTGGACAGCATCCTTTTGGAGGTGCGTTGCCTAAACACCTTGCGGGTTCAGCACTTTCTTCCCCAACTGTCTCTTGAGGGCCCCCTTCACTTCCTTGTTCCGGAGGCTATAGATGAGTGGATTGAGCATGGGGACCAGCACCACATAGAAGACGGAGACTACCTTGCTCTGCTCTAGCGACAGGCTCGACGGACGCCTGATGTACATGATGAAAAGGGTCCCGTAGAAGAGGGTGACAGCCGTCAGGTGGAAGCCACATGTGGAGAAGGCTTTGTGTCTACCTGCAGCAGAAGGAATCTTCAGGATGGTGATGAGGATGAAAACGTAGGAGATCAGAATCACAAGGAGGGAGCTGATGAGGTTGAAGCTGGCAGAGATCAGCATGAGGGTGAATTTGATGTGTGGGTCTGAGCAGGAAATCTTTAGGAGAGGTGGGTCAGCACAATAAAAGTGGTTGATGACATTGGAGCCACAGAAGGTCAATCGGAAGGTGAATATGGTCTGGATCATGGCATCCAGGAAACTGTATGTGGATGGAGCTGCCACCAGCCAGACACAGACCTCCCATGACATTTTTGTGGTATACGTCAGGGGACTGCAGATCGCCACGTAGCGATCATAAGCCATGGCGGCCAGGATGAAGGACTCCGTTAGAACCAGAGCAATGAAGAGGTAACACTGTATCAGGCATCCAGCAAAAGAAATGACTTTATAGTCTGCCACTAAATTTGCCAACATCCGGGGTGTGACGCTGGAGGAATAGCAGAGGTCCACAAAGGACAAGGAGCTGAGGAAGAAGTACATGGGGGTGTGGAGCTGGGGGTCCATCTTGATCAGCGTGATCATTCCCACATTTCCCACCACAGTCACAAGATAGACCAGCAGGAACAAGACAAAGAGTGGGCGCTGCAGCTCTGGATAATCTGCAAACCCCAAGAGAACAAACGCAGAGACCGAGGTGTGATTCTCTTCAGCCATTTTCTATGTGTCTCACCTACTGAGAATTAGAAGAGGAGGAGGAGGACAATGTCTGTGGGCATTGCTAGGAAGCTGAAGCACTCATTTAATCAGTCAGTTCTTCCTTCCGGTAGTTACATGCAGAAAACATGTTGCCACAAAAAAGTCAGAATATTTGGATTTTTTATGTAAGCCGTCCCGAGGCTATGCGATGGGACAGCATACGAATACTATAAATCAATCAATCAATCAATCAATCAATCAGATCCCTTGCAGGAGAACACATACTTTCCCCACCCATGCACATTTGCAAAATCCATCATGTTCTGCTGATTCTCTTTCCCTGCGTTGCTGTTTTGCCATAATGTCATAATAGGAACAATAAATCTCACAATAGAAACGTGCTGTAGAATAGAGTCAGGTTGTTATAGCAATATCTTGTCTGATAGTAGTACATTCATTTGCAACCCCTGTTGTCCCTCAAGCTAAACTAGATCTCATCCAGACTTCATCCCAGCCCTCTTACATGCAAAGCATCTCACTACAACTGTGCTGGTCCTTTGTCTTTCCCTGCATGCACATCTTCGCTGTTTCTTACTCTTCCATCTCTAGGTTTCAAGCCCACCTAGACATTTCAGCGAACTCCAGTGCTGCCATTGAAAGGAGGAAGGAAGGCTGAGCTCCAATATGGAAACGTCATTCCACAGCCAACCTTTGGTTTTTCCAGAGAGATCACACAAGAAAGCATCAGTGTCTCTAGGAGAAATCCTGAATACCCTTCACAACTTATCTAACCTACCGTAATGTGAAAGCTTAATACCTGGAAGTATTTTCACCCTGAGTCAGAGCATTAACTCCCGACACGGATGGAAGAGTAGCTTTATACAGCCACAGATATGCAGCCCTACCACATGTGACCTCTGATGGTTCCTGAAATTGCAAATGGCATCCAGGTATCCCTAAAGACATTGTGCAATCATTGTTGTAGCAGAATTTCAGAAGTCAATTAGTGAACCTCTGAAGAGCTCTCTTCCCAAGGGCTGTTAAGAGCAGGGGATCATTCTTCCATTCTTCGGCAATGTGGTTTTGTGGGGGAAGGGGGTACTGTGGTCCTTCTTTAGCAGTTTGTTGTTACCTGTTGAAGTTTTCTGGACAAAGGTGGGGAACCGCAGGTCTGGAGTCAAACCCTTCCCTCCTGTTCTCCTAGCTGAACTCTCTGGGGTTCACCGGTGTTGGGAACAGTTCTATACTGAGTTCTTCAGAGGTTCAGCAGAAGCAAGCACTGAGCAGCAGATTTAATTTACAGGCTGTTGCTTGAAACCGAATCTATTCAAATGCACACCGAGGGGCTTGCAGCACAAGCGAAAATCCATCACAATCTGTATGTGACCCACATGATGGGGAGATGTCGGAATATTTGTGCAGGATATTTCTCTTCTAAAAGAAGTTGCATTGTCAGTTGGTCAGCACAGAAGGGGCAAGGGGGCAACATGCTTCTCCTCTCAAGGGCAGGGGGAGCAAAAGGGCTTTTTTGCCTTTCCAGGTGTGGTGGGAGGAGAAAAAAGAGGCAGGAAAACATGTACCTAGCAGAGCCCCAGCCTCATTTTGTCTACGACATGAACCCTTTCTTTCCAGCCTGGGTAGTGGCCAGAGCCATGCTGTGTGAGGGCAGGCAATGTTACATAGACCTAACCATCAGATGGCCATGGCCTCTTCCCCATGTCCCACCCCTTTCCTCCAACCACCAAAGATCTGGTGCTTCTCTTACACTCCCCCCGCCCCATTCCAAAATTTTGAAAACCCCCTCCTAGGTCTTATTGAGTGGCCACACGAACTTTAAAGCTAGAACTGGTGGTTTTGCTCTCCTCCTCCTCCTCCTCCTCCTCCTCCTCCT